CAAAACCCCAAACTTACAGGCCAGAACCCATCATAGGCAGGCTCTACCAAACTTCAGGCAGTGAACAGATTGGGTGAGTGCCCACCTACCCTGCACCTCCCCTTGCTGAGGTTCAGGGTAGCCAGAGGATAGGCAACGAGAGGTCTATGCAGGAGCCAGAGGAGGGATGAGGTGTAAAAGGAGAAGACCAGGTAGGCATTCAAGAACAGTAAAGTAGTCAGGATGACATCAGAGTCCAGGCTGTGTGCACACAAGAAGTCAAGCTTGGCCAAACAGATTCCCGCTGGCCCAGGAGTCACTCTGAAAACCAGCTCACTTGTTGAAGTGTATGGGGCTGGGTTGTCCCAAAGCAGAAGCATCTGTTGTCCCAGGATCCCACTGTCCTGACAATTGAGCTGAGGGTGAGAGCTTGTGCTGAGTAGGACTGGTTTCAGAGCAGATGTCTGGCATTTCACAGCCTCAAGTTTGTGGCTATTTGAAGGTGTCCCTTAACCGTCCTTGTAGAATGATCCCTGTTCCCTTCCCTTTGGGTATCATAACTATTGAAAGAATGGACCACTGGAATTGGAATTTCCTTCAGGATGCTGTGAGAAGGAAAAGCCTGAAGCCTGGTACCAGCCAGAGGAGGAATTTGATTTCACATATCATAACTTGACAAACTGTCTTGCAGGAGAGACTGGAGCTGACAGAATGATGGGCAGGAGGACACTTTGACCAAAACTGTTTGGTTACACATACTTCTTGCCCCCTATTTAAACATAGGCCTAATGGCAAGACACTGAAAATGGATTTGGTATATGGTATGAGTAGATTTCTGTATCTTCCCCATGTGGTCACACTGAATAAATCTTTGCTTTTATTCCTTCCTGACTGATTAGTCTATTGAGGATATGTAGCCGAGCCCAGGTTGTGAAGTTGAAAAGGACCCAACCTTTGACTCTAACAACTCTGGTTGTTAGAGCTCCAAGAAATACAGAGTCTGGGACTTAAGAGTCCCCAAGTCAAAGTGCTGGGTAGTTGTGCCTCCCCATCCTGGTCCCCAGCCCTTATACCAGCCAGCTGCCAGGAGACACAAGCAAATGAAGAGGCCAGTCATTCCAGATTGAATCACTGTGTTTTACTAAGTGCCCAGGTCCACTGGGCATCTGAATTTAGCCCTGTGGCAGCAAAACTTTCCAGAACCATCTGCATGCATCCCTCTGCAGGATTCTGCCCCAAAGTTCCCTGCGAGCACACGTTGGCCCGCCCACACGGCACACACATCATCCTGTTCGTGTTGAGTAAGTTAGTGTCTCAGCTAGTCCGTTAGAAAACTAGAGTTCATTCCCTGGGCATCTATCCCTAGAAGACAGCGTTGTGTGCAGATGGCGACTCGCTGGCCCGAAGGAGGAGGCCAGCCGCTGTGGCCCAGGGGCATGTACAAAATGGTTAGGGTGCACATCAGTATGAAGGCATTATGAAATATTCTTTGGAGCATGAACAAAAGTGCAAAGACAGCCAAAGGCAACAGCGCAGATGGGGAAGCTGCGGCCGCAGCTGCGGCCGGGGGACAGGACTGCAATGGGCAGGTGTGGACTGGAAGCGCAGGGTGTGCTGCACTGTATATGGAGCCATCCCAGGCAGATAGATGACGTCAAGGGGGTCACAGCTTTGAGCCCCTCCACGTGGGACTACTAGTGGCAGCTCATCATGCCAGCACTCCTCTCCAGTCGCAGGACCTGGAGGTGGAGTCCAGTGTCTGTATCAGGCAGGGGCAGGGCTGCCCTTGGTGAATTTCCCTCAACATACATTAAGGCAACAACTCTGTAAAAGCCGGTCCAGGTTGGATGTGCAGTACTAGTGATGTGCACTCCTGCCTGAGAATCCCAGAGACACAGCCTGGGGACTATCCCTTCTCTGACAGAGGGTTAGACACAGGGGAACTTCAGGATGGGTCGTGGGACAGACCCAGTATCCTTTGTCAGCCAGGGTACCAAGGCCAGCATCAAAGACAGAGCTCTGAACAAATGTAAAACCCAGGAACCTCTGGCTGTTTGCTGGGCCTCCTTCCTAGGGTGTAACCCTTTTTGTCTACCCCATTTCCTGGTGACCCCCAAGGCACGCTGCTGGAGCTACTTCACAGACAAGTAGAATTCAGCAAACTGTGGCCCAAATTTGTTCACTTCCAGGGACACTGAGCCCCCTAGGCTCCAGGACACGTGTTAAGCACATGTGAGGATTCCTCAGAAGGAAGAGGCACCTGGGTCTCCTCTAGAAATCTTCATTGCCATCTTAATACCTCCTCTGAGAAGCCCTTGCCTTCTTAGCTCAGCCAGGGCACAGTAGGAGCCTAGGACAGCCAGACAGACTTGCCTGCAGACTTTTCCTGGACCTCTTTCCCCAAACCCTATATCCTGTGCCCTGGGAGGTCTCAGGGGAGAATACTGACCTCTCTGCTCCAGGGAAGCAGATGCCACATCAATGTTTGATTCCAGCCCATGTGAGCCTGGACTTCAGAGGTACCCTGTATAGATTATCTACTCTTAACTCCAACCTACCCTGTTGGGATACAAGATGCGCCAGACACCTCTGAGCCCCTACACAGTGGGCCCCACTGTTCAAACGTTTTTCATGTTTATTTCAAGAGGGTGTGGCCTCAGGGAAAGGCCTAAATGTTGTCCTACACATGTTGGGATGTGAGCCATGGGCAAGAGCATTAGCCTCTACTCTGTGCACTGCTTACAGCTGAAAGACACAAACTTCAGGGTGTCAGAACAGCATCCCTGTCCCAGATTCTTACCTCTGGGGGAAAGTCTGAAGATATCTCTGGGCTCAACTCTTTCTACAAAAAAGCAGGGTGTCCTTCACAGTGCCCCTGATATAGGATAAACCCAGTAGGGGAGGCAGAAGGCAGGGTGACCCCCTCTTCCACATTCTGAATCTGGAGCCTCCAGCTCGAGGGGAGGAAGAATCTTAAACCAGTGAATTAAAGGTGGAAGGTGGTCCTGGATGTATATCTCCTATGTCTAGGATCTGAGGATGACTACGGTTTAGAGTTTCCTCCAAGGAGGCCCACGTAGTGTCTATCGACTCTCCAGCTTCTAAATGGGGCTTTCCAGTGAGGTCCCTAAATGTGAAAGCATAACCAAGAGCTAGCTTACAACCTCAAATGAACACGTGGTCTGCCAAGACCACAGGTAAGACAGCAGATGGGCCCTCACCCCAGGTATTCTGGCCCTGTTAGACAAGAGTGCACTTTCTGGAGGCTACAATCGAAAGGGACAGAAAGTTAAGCCAGGAAATGCCAATCACAGCCTGGCACAGTGAGGCAGGCATGTGTACAGGAGGGCATTGGGAAATGGCCAATACCAAGATTAACCCAAGGCAAAGACTGGTCTGGACCTCAGTAGGAACTAGAACTCCCTTCACCCTGACCTAGCCACACCCTCTCAGTACCTGCAGACAGCCACCATTTAGTACAGAGAAAGGGCAGTGAGGGATTCAATGGTCTGTAGGTGGACTCTACCTCTGTTGCTCGGAAGTCCCAGATAACCAGGACTCCTACCCCAGTCAGTGTTCAACATTTTAAAACATTCACCATTAATCCCTGTGCACCCTGCCTAAGCAGCTTCCATCAAGAAGAGCTAAAGAGAAAAAGTGTGTATGTGTAAAGAGAGAAAGAGAGAGAGAGAGAGAAGCCTACATGTATGTGTGTACATATTATACATACAGGTTACTCATACATGTGTGTTCATATATGTAAATAATCAGGTATAAAAGTGGGTACCTGCTGTATTTGCAAATGTCGAATAGGGTGCAGCCTATATGTTCATATGTGTGTTCGTGTGTGTAAATTTATGTGTAAATGTTATGTGTGGTCTGACAAACTGTGTGTGAGCTTGCATTTGCAAGTATATAACAAGGAATACATCTTTGAAAGTATATTTGTATGTATACTTGTGTGTGTGTATATATATTTGTGTGTGCATATGAAAATGTGGTAAGTTTTGGTGTGCACTTATGTGAATGTACATGTGTGTCTAGCGTATGGGCCTGTGCTGGTGGGCATGTGAGGAAATGCGTTGGGACAAATGTTTTCTGAGGAAAATTTTGCCATGGGGCAGCTGCTGGCCTTCAGTCATACTTGTTCACGTGTGCACCCAAGAAAGTGCACAGATTTCTTGTCGGAGCCTTCAGCCTCCATCCTGTCCTGCTTCTCTGTGGGTGGAGATGCCAGGGCAGTGGACATTTGTGTTGCTTAAGCCTGAATCTGGGTCCCCTAAGAAAGGGCTTGGTCATCTCCCACATCAGGGCTTTCGTGTCACCCTTTGAGATACACTCCCTTCCTCTGTGTAGCCAACACTGCAGACTTGACCAGCGTTCCTCATTTGCAGAGAAGGTTGTATCTCCTTGTCTCTCTCTTGCTGTAACCTAAATAAGGACTGATAAATTCTGTGTGACCAGGGTTTCTGGGAAAGGGGTGTCTGTCCACCTTCTTCATCCCACAAAACTCCAGTTCAGGTTACTCCAGGCTTTGGTATCCATGGCAGCTATGAGGACAGGACTTAGAGCCATGTATGAGGCAAGACATGCTGTATGGAGCATATAGGACAGAAGCAAACCTCTCTCCCACATCCCCTGAAGCTGAGATTGCTACGGTCTTCGCAGGTCTAGGGGAGGAGTGCTCTGGCTGTTGTTTGTCCAGGCAGATGTGTTTGTCCCTCTGCTCTAGACTCTTTCTGTCCTGACACGGAGAGGGAGGAGTAAAGACCCAGGCTCAACTCACCAAGAGAAGGCTTGTGAAAGTATAGCTACTCTTCCTGTCTACATCACCTGCCATTCCCATATAGAAAGAGACATCTCTCATACCAAGAAATTCTCGACTACAGTGCTGCCTTGGAGAACCAATGTGCACATATTGGAACAAACACAGACAGGCTTCCAGCTAGGATCCTAGCAGAGGCACCCTGAGGTGAGATCCTAGTAGCCCTGACATGGAGGACTTATAGATTACAGCAGACAACAGACATAGCTCTCCAAATACCCAGGTCCCTGGCAGAGACATGACTCAAGCTCTCCTCAGGGCTGGGGTACCTCCTGCTGAACACAGGTTCCCCCCACGAGCTGCCTCTACCCCTGCCAGACCACACTTTTCAAAAGGTTGGAAGAAGTAGATAGAGCTCTGTTCAGGCACGAACTCTATGGTACTTGCCCTCACTGACCAGAAAAGCTGAGGGCAAGTGACTCTGGGGCCCCCGCCCCGAAATGTTATCATTCAATGCCAGGCACCTCTGGGCCAGATATTATGGGGCCACAACTGAGGGCTCTATTCTACCTTGTCTCCCTCTAAAGCTGACTGTTGGATGGTCCAAGATGCCCACTCACAGGATGGACAGAGATGACTCCTCACCAGAGTAGAGGACAAGGTGTTTCCAATTCCTCAAACACCAAGGGGCCACAGACCAGGGACCTATTAGTGGATAAATGACTGGATGGCCAGCTTCTGTGGGAAGGATCCTTGACCAGGCTCAAAGGCCATGCTCTTGTGTAGAAAGAGCTGGCAGTTTGAAGACGTCATGTCATTTAGCCCTGCCTGAATCTGTAGAGCCAAGGGGGCAGCAGGCAAGGAGGTGCCCTGGCTAAGGACCATGCTGGTCTGCTTTATCTGGTGGTTCTCTTGAAGTGCTGGCCGCAGCCTGGAGGCCAGCACCACACCAGGAAAAGAGCAGAGGCCATGAAGTGTCAACTCATACCTCCTGAGCTACAGTGCCAGGGATGAGGCAGCCAGAACCTGCTGAGGAAACCCTTTCAGAAAAGTCTGCGAGTTGAGTCTTCCCCTAAGAGATGGAAGTCAGGGGAGTCTAAGGATTAATTCTAAGCTCCAAATTGGTCCCTAAGGCCTCACCCCTTCCTCAGCTCCAGGAAAAGGGTCATGACCTAAGGATGGCTTCCATGGAAAGATCCACATAACCTGGAAGAGGGAGGAAGACGTTGGCAGCTCTCTAGCTAGGTTACTCAGGGGTGAGGGGCATCACCCAACCACACGCAAACAGTGGGCCTGGTAATGCTTTCCTGGGGCGGTCAGGAATGGAGGGGTAAACAGTTAGCTGTGGGGGTGGGCCATTTCCAGCAACCTACTATACCCCTGAGCTACCAGCCTAAACTGAGAGACCCATAGGCCTCAGGACTGGCCATCAGCAGTAGACAGGCCTGTTCCACGACTACCGCCCACGTACTTGCCACACCCTCACTCACAGGTGCTAACCATCCCGCTGTCCCTCCTCACTCACAGGGCAATATGTCCCCCAAGAAGACTAGGCAGGGCTAGCTTTGCTGCCATAGGTAGCTCCCAGGGCCTCCAGGGCCCGGCCTCAACCTCCCTTTCCTGGTTGGAGAAGAACTATAAAATGTTACTGTATGTGCTAAGGAGCCCTGCCTCATCTCCACTCCACATGAACCCTGAGAGCGAGATCCCATGAGCATCCTCACAACCCACACTACTCTATGTCACTTTGTCACTTTAAGAAAGGCCCTGAAACTCCAGTTATAAAACTGAACAAGAGTGGGCGTGGCGTGGGGGCCGGCAGCCCAGCCCAGACTCACTTCCTGGGCCCTGCCCAAGCCACATCTCCAAAGGGGCCCTCACCAGTGGCAGAGCGTGGGGGTGGCCCACACGGTGTGCAGAGGTCTGAGTCTGTGTCAGACTCCCCCTCTGCAATGTAAGGCCTGACCTTGGCGCACGGCGCCACAGCTGCATAACAGCTGCCCAGGGCATCCAGGTTCTCCTTGGACTGGGAGATACTGAAGCCGCTGAAGGAGCGCTCCAGCTCCTCGTGGTCCACCGAAGGGATGGAGATGGACGTGTCGCTATCCCGCAGGGCAGCCTCAGAGGGCCTGCAGGCTGGGGTGCCCTCCAGCCTCAAGAACTCGGTACTGGCTCTGTTGCCCCCACCGTAGGCAGACAGTGACCGCTCGTGTGCAGGGGGTGGTGGGATGCGTACCAGTGAGCCGTGGTCTCCCACAGGGGAGGTGCCATGGCGCTGGTGGCTCTGCTGCCATGAGGTGGATGGAGGACACTGGGCAGGGGGGATAGCTGGGGGTGCGGCGTAGTTCCTCTGGCCCGTAGAGCTGGTAGAGCGAACGATCTTAATGATACAGCCATGCTTGTCTGCATGGTCGCGGCTGTCCTCTGGGCTGTGGTAGGGTGGTGCCGGCTCAGGCTCCTTGGCCCCAAAATAGGCCTCTGTCTCTGCTGGTGGGATGCCCATCCTCTGTGTATAGATGCTCACCAGGAAATCTATCTTCTTTTCCATGGACAAGACCTGCAAGAATGGCAGCTGCTGGGCTGGGCTGGGCTTTTGAGAAGACCCAGGATGTACCCAGGTGAAAGGGGGCAGAGGAAAGGACCCCAGAGCTGCCCTTCCTCTACCCCAGACTGCATTAGCTCAGACTCTGAGCTTACTGGCCAGCTCATAGAAGGGTCTCCTGTGGTCTCCTAAGCAACCATTTCCCAGAGAGTCAGGATGGGAAATGGGGGAAGGGGAGGCAGGGGATGAAGGCCACGTACAACGTATGGCAAGTTCTACAGTGATTGCTCCTCCTAAAGGACCCTCAAATGCAAATCATGACTAACAGTTACCCCTCTAGGCATTTCCAATCTCCAGATACTGACTATGAAAAGAGGAAGACTGCAAGATCATAGGATTTCACAGGGAATGGGGGGCATCCCGCACAGCTCTGCCGTCTCCTGCTGCATCTACCCCTAGACCTTGGTTGCTCAGCTACCGTAGGTGAACTAAATAAGACTGGGAGACAGCAGAGGCCATTCCCCTCCCAAGCCTCTCCCACCTGTTTCTCCACCTTCCCAAGCCGTCCCATCATGCTGGGGTCTTCGGGCAGCTCCGTCTCCGCTGGGCCTTTGGTGCGGTCCTTGTCCGTTATTGTTGGGCCCCGCCCCACAATCTGGTCCACTCTAGCAGGAATAGAGACCCAGCCCCCAAGTATGAGTTTGAGAGGGTGTGACCAGGCCCCTGCCCCTTCTTCCTGGGCTAACCCCACAGCCCCCCAGATCTGGGCTCCAGGCCCTGTCCAGAGCCGACCGGGGGGCAGTAGGTGCCAGTCAGATGGACACTGGTGCCTCATGATCTTAGGCCACCTCCTGATACCTTGGGTCCTGTTTCCTATCTGTTCCATTCCCGTGGGATCTGGCACATTAACAAGGAGTAAAGGGAAATGTCTCCCCAGGGCCCACTCCCCACTCTTCCCTGGCACAGCTCTACTCTCATCAGTCCTGCCTCATAGCTATTCCTAGGCCTTGACTGGTCTCACAGCAAACTGAGGCCCAGGGGATCAGAGGTGGTTGGTGGGCATCCAGCCAAGGAACCAGAGTAGGAGAGGTTGTGTCTTTATCCGAGTACCCCACTCCCAGACAGCTTTACTCCAACATTAATGTGCCACGGCGTTCCTTGGACCCCAACGGGTATGACAGGGGCAGTGTTAAATGTCTGCAGCGAGGACAACAGAAGCAGTGAGTGTCAGCTCCATGCATCAGGACAAGGGAGAAGGAAACAAAGGCCACATAGGAAACTGCCAGAGTACAACCAAGGGAGAGATGAGTCCTGCCAACAGGTCTTTGTGAAGTTGGGATTGGGGTGGTATGTGCACACGAGGGTGCTGATGCATGCAAGTGTGCTGCATGTGTACTCACATGTGGTCATGTGCTCACACCCATGTGAGTGAGTGTGTGCACTTGTAAGTGTTGGGCAAGATGAGAAATTCAACTGAGATGATCAGTAAAGACGCCATAATACCAACAAGAAGGGAAGGATCAGGTTCCTCTGCCAGCGTGGCACCAGCAGATCCATGATGTGTTACGCATGTAGGGCTGTGGCAGGGCTGGTGAGTGTCACAAGAGTGAGCATGGATCCAGATCCGCAGGCCACTTAAAAATAAAGAACCTGTGTAGAGCCCATAGGCCCAACACACCCAGAGTATGCCTGAGTGAGGGCCCTCCTCCCCCCCCCCCCCGAGCTGAGCCGTGTGGCTCAGACACGGAGCACACTCCAGTAGGCACGTGTCAGCAGGTTCCCCCTCTACTTTCTATAAACTGGGATGCCCTGCCTGCTTTTGTGGCAACTCCGGAGGAAGGATCAGGCTTGATCAGCCAGAGGCAGCCTCTGCATGCTCCACTGGGCTCATGCTGGGCTCATGCAAAAGAGGGTGGGAGGGTTGGCAGGAGGGACCTTCTGGCTCCAAGCAGATGTTGGTGGCAATGGTAAGGGAACAGGTTCCCTGATGTCCCAGTGTCCACATGGTCCAGGCACAGATGCACAGCCCCTTCACTCCTGCCACATGACGAGCCGTCTGCCTGCTGGACCTTAGGATGGGCCTCAAGTTGCTTCAAGGTAGCCAGGCAAGAGTCCTCTAAGGATCTTGTACCACCTCCTTCCCCGAGGTGTTCAGGCTGGGGCATCAGATTTAATCCCCCAGATGCTTCTCACCTCTTGAGTTAAGACCTTTCCTGTGTGTCTGTAGCTGCAACATAGGAGGAGGCTGAGGGGGTTCTGAGATGGATGGGGCTTTCCCAGCCCATGGACTGGATGATCAGCTGCCATAACTGGCAGCAAGACCCACGGGACTAAATGGACCTCAGTTGTATTGGCAGATAGTGTCACAGACCACTCTTTAGTCTGGATGTCATCTGATCATGAGCTGTACCTGCTCCCTCAGAGTCCCTCTCTCATGAACTGATATGCTCATCATATTGACCTTTGACCTCATGAGCTACAACCCTGGCCCAAGGAGTGGACAGATGCTATACCTGCCAGTTCCAATTTTCCAAATTCTCTGAGCTTCCCAGCTTCTATCCCCAGCTGACAGACAAGTGTCTAACTGCCTTCCCTGTGTCTGCTCCTGAGAAGTTTACTTTTCCTGAACAATCATGCCTGCCAGAGGGAGACAGGGAATTATATGAGTGGTCCCAGGGTAGCCAGAAGATCTTGAAGCCTATATTAACCATGTCAGAACTGGCTTTTGCCATCTGACTGTTTCCTGGCTCCATTCTGCCATCCATCAATCAACTGAGTGGCAGGGTAAAGTGGGCTGTCATCTCTTATCAATGACATCAATGATAGTGACAATTTGAAATGACACCAGAAATGACAGAGCCAGCATGGTGCTGGAAGTCCTGTGGGGATTTTCTTATTTATTTCTGGGCCCCGGCAATGCCGAGAATTGAACCTAGGGCCTTACATATATCTGGCATGTTACCCTAGGCTAAGTAAGCACAGACTAGTGCTTTAAAGCTCAGCTACATCCCCAGACTGCACACATTCTTCAGGCAGGTGCGTGTTACATCTAAGGAAGGGGACCAGGGGAGCACCTCCATCTGCTTTTATCTATTCAGAGCCAAGGTCAGGACCTTGTACATGGTGGTCGCCCTAGGAATGAGCAGGTGTGAAGAGCCTGAGCTGGCCAAGCTTACAATGCCATATATCCATTGAGGTCCTCTACTTCAGCAGCCTTAGCAGATGTCATGGAGAAATCCATGGAAAGGCAATCCCTGTAGATGGAGGACTCAAGGCACTGCCTACCAGCCCCTAACATGCCCTTTAGGAAGAGAGAGAACCTGAATGTACCCTGCCTTATAGGAAGAAAAATGCAAGATGCTGCCATCATGCGGCCTAGAGCAAAGGGGCTGGCCATTCACAGACAGGGTGGGAGGAGGCAGTGCATCCTAACCTAGGTGAGTATTGGGGTGACTCTCTCGAAGGGGCCGTGGGTCCTTTGGTAGGGTACTTCTTGTGCCGGGGAGTTGAAGGGGGTGGGGGGCCCACAATCATATCTATCCTGGCAGCATAAACAAGAAGAGAGACACCAGCAGAACACATCATAAACAACTCAAGGCGAGTTGCTGGACATGCAGAGAAACAAGGAACTTGACAACAGTGATTCTTCTGAAAAACATACTCAAAACAGAATGGTGCACCCACACTTTGGCCCTCACATCTGCCAAGCTTTCCCCACAACCCAAGCACTGTCCAGCCTGCCCGATGGACCTCAGGTAGAATACAGGATGGATTGGTGCTGAGAACTAAGTCCCAGAAAGGGACTCCGCAGCTTCAGAGCAACAGGACTCTGCATCGGAGGCCAGAAGCATGAATCCTCATCAGCAGTCTGTTTTGTCTGTTTCCCAGACAGAACGAGAAGGAAAAGGGAACTGTGGAGGGGAAGAGGTTGTGGAGCAAAGAGTTGTGCGGATGGACATGAGGCTGGACTAGAGACTAGGCATTCTCACTCACCCACAAACAGCACATGTACAGCATCTACTCTGGGGAAGCCAGTAAGAGGCTCCAGCCTGAGCTGTACTACATCTCCCTGACCTTCACTTATGAGAGCACCTCATGGCCTAGAAGCCCTGCCCCTGACATTGGCCATAGCTGCAACTTTCTGTGAGTCCCCAGGCTGTCTCTAATGTCCTTACCCTCTACCTACCCAAAATCCATGGTCCACTTCCAGGCTTTAAGAGCAGGGTGTGTCCCACCTTGGGAGATAGGCCCTCACAGTAGTCACACTCACGTGTGTGAATGATATCTGTGGTTAAGGGTATGTGCCTAGGAACATGGGAAGCGGGGGCAGGCTGGAAGAGTTGTGAACATAGGCTGTGCACACCTGTACACTCCTGCAATTGGGGAATGCACAGTTGCATGTGTTGTGCATCTGAGGGTATGTTCCTGTGAGCATGTTGACAGTGGGTTCAGACAATCGTGGACATGGGTCTGTATGTGTACACCTGCACATTTTGAATGCATGCGTGTGAGGGTGGACTCGGGCCTTACTCATGGGTATACAATGCATGTATATATAACTTCTGGAGTAAGCTATTCTCACACACAGATAATCCAGTGGTTGCTTTGATGTGCTTCCTACTCAAAAAGTAGAACCCCACTACAAGGAAGCAGATAGTGTATCTAGGAGGAACAGTTCCGGGGTCCCTGGTCACTGCCTAGCAGCGCCCACAGAAGCCCTGTGTTTTCATCTTGTCACAAAAACTCCCCTTAACAGCATGTATATGCATAACACACACATGCATACACATACACCAATACACATAGGCACATACATAGCACAGCACATGGTGCTCATGCATACAACCATACATCATATGCACGTTTGCACACATATATGCACACATGCATGCACTTGAGCATACACATGGGTATATTCAGATGCCCACACCTATACACATTCACGCATGTGTATACATATGTACATGTGGACACACACATAAACACACTTGCCACCATAGTTTAGGTGAGTGGAAGAGAAAAGGGAGGGGTAGAAGAAACGCTAAAAACAGACAGTGTGAAAACACAGCAGAAAGCAACAAGAAGCCAACAAAGTGGGAAGAAACCTCCAAAGCTGGTACTGGCCCTGTTCTGCACACCTGTCACCCAGCCCTTGGTGCCCCTTGTGCCATGCCTGGTTTTGTCCCGGAGGGCCCTGTTCATGCCCAGACTGGACAGGCAGGGGCTCTTGCCTGGACTGCAGGCTCTTGATGCGGGACAACATATCCAAGTGTCCAGCCGAGTACTGTTCAATGACATCCATCACGTCATATGGGCGCAGACTCTCTTTGAACTTTCGCTTAGATACCAAGAACCGCATAACACTGCAGGGATGGAGATAGATCATGAGTTTCAAACAGAGGCTATACTGCTAGGGTCCAGTTCCCCACTCACCCTACCCCACTACAGCCTACTCAGTGCTCAGTCTCAAATCAGGTCCCATTCTCCTTGGAACCACTGGTATGGGGCAGTTGTTGATTGTCTGAAAACATCCCCCTGCCTTTGTCCCCCATTTCATCCATACAGTCGGGGGCTCTCAGGTCTAGCCAGCTCTATCAGGGCTCCCTGGCCCTCTGGGAACAAGCTGACAGATACAGAAGCTGGAATAGGCAGGGGTCCTCCTCTAGACTCCTTGTGTTTTCCCAGTAGCTATGGCCTTTGGTGGCTTGGCAAGACCCCGTGAGGCCACGGAACAGGGCCCTCTCATGCAGATTGAGCAAGGACTCCCTTACCACACAGCTCTGATGCTGACTTTGAGGCCAGGGGTAAGATCTTCAGTCACAAACTCGCAGTTACAGCTCTTGTTGTCCTCCACAATATCCTCCCCAGGGAGGCTTGCTTCTAGGTGGAAGGGAACACAGGCTATGAGCAGACAATCATGACAGGATACAAACTCCAGCCTGACCCTCAAGGGCCACTCAGGTTCCCCCCAGGATACCCCTTCAATGCCTCTGATGCATTGGAGGGCTTCCCCTCCTCCCCATGCCTCTCTTTAGCTTTCCTTTCTCAGTGTCTTCTCCAAAAGCTATGGCCTGGACAACACGAGAGTTTAAAAGGATATCCCTGCCAACAGATAAGCGGATAACCACAATGTGGTCACTGTTCAGCCAAGAAATGAAGAAAGCCACGACACTTGATACCATGAACGATCCTTAGGGACGCCATGCTCAATGTGAAACGGCCACCATGGACCATATGAAGCTCAATATCATGTGACATGGACAGACTGGAGGTAGAGAGAAGTAGGTATGAAGCCCAGTGCTGGACTAGAGAGAGCCAGGGTGATGCCATTACAGGGGTGGGTCAGGGCTTTTTCTTCATTACCTGCAGAGGTGGCAAGTAATGAAATTACGTGACGTCAGTGAATGCTATGTGATAAAGTGGTTTGTCTTGCATGACATCACTTTTTGAAGTGAGTAGGAAGGGGGAGCTCCCTGCTCCAAAAGATTTCCATTTGTGCCCTATAGCCAAATACTAATGTCCTTCCCTCAGCAGCCACCAGCCTTGGGGAAGGGGATGCAGTGCTGACCCACCTTCTGAGTTCTGCCGGGATGCAGCACCCTTGATTCGGAAAGCCTGGCGTGCACGGCTGCGGTCACCAAAGCTCCAGCTCTTGGGCACCTTGCTTGGGCTGTCATCAAGACTCTGATCTGCACTGGGGGACCGCCGGACCGTCTGGGCCTGGGGAGATCCCTTCCCCTTGGCAGCCACGCCTCGGGGGCTGGAGAAGACACGATCTTTCAAACTGACCTTCTGACTGTTCCCAGGGTAATGGACCAGCGGACAGAACGGGCAGACAGACAGACACACAGAAAAACAGCAAGAGAAATCACTCTGGAAATAACAAGCCACGTTTGCAAGTCCCTTTGCAGCTGATGCCCGCCCACAAGCCAGGAGAGAAATGCAAGTCCAGAGAGTAACCAACCACACTGGGGGCAGGGAGCAGTGACTGGTGAAGCACAGGGTGAGGAGCCGCACGGGTGTGGCCAGAGCTGGGAAGGCAACGGCGGGACTCCTAAATTATCCAGCTATCACTGCAAGGTGCCAGGGCCCTCTCCACACTGTTTCTCCTAGACCTCCCCAGACACTTGAGACTGGATCTCTTCCCCGGACCTTTGTGTGTACTAGTGTGGCTAACAACTTCCCCTGTTGCCCATCCCAACTGCCCCTGGAAAGCCCCAACCATCATTATATCTCCTGTCCCAGGAACATCAGAGTTCAGGACTACATCTAATGTGTCTAGATCCACCTTAGCCCCAGCATTTTCTGAGTCCCAGAAACTGCCTGGTCTCTATGTGGGGCTTATATCCAACACCGTCTGGTCTCTGGGATCCAGACCCCCTCCTCTAGGATGTTTTTAAGTGGACATCAGGGATGAGGTTATTATGAGGTTAGGCTTTGACTATTACAGGACTGGTTGTCACAAGCCTTGGCCCCAGATGGTGGCTATAGAAATGGAGAGATGATAGCCAGCCCCTAACTAAAGCTCTTTCCCATCGGGTTGCTGTCTCCAAATTAGAAGGTCCTAAGACTTCCCTCACCCCATATTTCTTCCTAAACCCCAGAGTTCAGTGGTTCACTATGATCTGGATAGCAAAAGACAGTGGGTCTGTGAGTAGCTTGCTCCAGGAAGAGGTGGTATCCACTCTGATTCTGAGGGCAATGTGCCTCTGTCCAGATCAGTTACTTTTCCCACTGATGATCCCACTATCGCTCCAGAGGCAGAAGGCAGGAAGTCTCTTGTGAAGTGGAACTCACTTGATCAGCTAAATAGGAGCCATAGAACTTCCCAGGGTAGCTTCAGACGTGGCCCATGACAACATCTGGCAGTACTAAGGGTAACTCCAAGAAAGTTGCAATGCTCAGTATTGCTCATCAGTGCCTCAGAACCAAACTTCACACCCAGCCACAGGGCCCCATGAGGGGCCACCAGACAGAGAGACGTGTCCAGCAGCATACAACACAGAGTTGACTATACAAAAGAAGATGGCCATGGTGCTAAGTCCACCCATCTTGTGGATGGGGCTGGTGGTTCTCCCAAACCTATTTGGACAGTAGGCAACTTGGGAGACCATTTGTGTCTGCTCACCCTCTCTAAAGAAGAGGAAGGAAGAAGAGGAATCCAGGGGCACAAAACCCACACAGGGAAACTGAGGCAGCTTCAAAAATATCCCATGTCCCGGGAGCATCAGGAGCCAGTAGCATCTGCTAACTTTGGAAAATAGCCCAGAGTCTAGACTTCTGCGTGCCACTAAAACACCAGAGACCACACAACAGACAGGTGGTGGCCAGGGACATGGAGAATCCACATGACTTTCTGACCCCTTTCTAAATAGAAAGTTCTAGTTGGATCTAAAGAAGACTGGATATTCAGGGGTTTGTGGCTTCTGAATTTTCTTCTCTTCACCTGTGGGCCCTTTGATCACAGGAACTATTGAAGACCCAAGATTATGTGTCTTTCACGGTCCACCTGGGGTAGGCGAGGTAGAAGCTGGACTGAGGGAACACACACTTCCCACTAGCACTCAGGAAGGGAAATGAGTTATCACTAAGCAGCTTGGTGTTGACCATCCTGAGTCAAGTCACAGAGCTGACTTCCTGATGGGGTCTCAGGACTCACTCAATGCTGCAACAACTTACGGTCAGTTTACATTTAACTCCGGCTGTTATGTGGAGTGAAGGGGAATGGCTGGTGATGGCAAGTCAGGTTCTTACGGCCTCCCGACCCCTGGCCTCTGCAAAGGGTTGCAACAAGAAAGACTGAACAGGTGTCTCCAAGGAGGTCACCCAAAGTCAGCCACTTTCTAATCCTAGTAGTAAATTCTTCCACAGCCACCAGAAGAAGTTATCGACCATGCAGACCCAGGCCTGGACTCTAGACCTACACAGGACCGCAGCCCACAGCAGATTTGTAGCTTCCAGGAAAGAGACCCTACCCTTAGTCTTGGTTCTTCTGTCTGCAACTCTCCACACTGTCCCTTCCTCTGACGGAGGCTCTGACAGAGAAAGGGACAAAGTGGATTGCCATTGCCAGAGCACTGAGTCCTCACATAGTCTTCCACCTCTCTAGGGCCTGGATAGAGGCCCTGGGTAGAACTTAAGGGTCTCCCTCTCACCTCCCAAGCCACCAAGCCAAGATCAAAGCAAGCATCAGGTAGGAAGGTCTCCAGAGCTTTCCCTAAAGCCCCAGCAAGAGAGCCCATAAACAGAACTACCCAGTATGTGAGGGGCATGACACCAGCCAGAGGTCAGCTCAGGAAGAATCTGGAAAGCAAGCAAACCCCAGCCTTTTGCTTCCTCTCACACTCTCCAGAGTGAAATTCAAAAGGAAACCAGCCATTAGATGACTTTGCCCTAGTCAGTGCATGGGCTCAGCAATGCAGGGAGCCGGCATCCACAGAGAACTGCCCAGCCTGTTCCTGGACCAAGGATGCCCAAGGGACAATCCACAAGAACACAGAGGCCAGGGCTGACTTCAGCTGGGCTCCTACAGGCCCATTCTTCCTAGCCCTTCTGGTCTTCAAGCAGCCTGGCTTTAGCGTCTGTCCTAAAGGTTTGACCTGTGGCCAGAAGCACCTGGACACATATGCTGTGGACAAGCAAGGCAGCTTCAGCCAGGGCCTGAGCAGGCTGCCTCCCAGGGCATACCAGAGACCCAGTTGCACCCAGAGACCCTGTCTGCAGCTGCAACGTTCTCCCCACAAGCACCCGCCTCCAGCGCACAGAGCCAGCAGAGAGGCCCGTGGGGTGGGAAGGTGGCCCTCAAGCCCCTCTCCCAGTGGAGAAGGACACGGAGCATGCACAGGTGCAAATGCACAGCATGCTGCTTGGCACAGCTGGACACATGCACATGATGGGGGCTCCCCCATGCGGGGGCCACCACAGCTGCCTTAATATGGCTGGGTTGTTCCAGCCAGGAAAGGGACAGGCATGGGAGGGCAACCAGGAGGCAGGGGCCCCAGAGCAAGCAGGACAGATGCCTTCATACATGGACAACAGACAGGGGAATGAAAAGGGAAGGGTGTAGTCAAGGTGCAAAGGGTTAGGAGGCTTTTCAGCATCCCGTTTCCAGTCTTCCCTAAACCAGGCCTGCAAGTCAGAAGGGGGAGACATGGCCTTTGGCTTTTGGGGGCCCCGAAGAGCCCAGAACACAGCGAGCTGCCTCCCTCAGTGAGGTGCCGGCTAAGGGTCGGTCCTTAATGCCTAGTAGAGGTACCAGAGTGGCCGGCCTCAGAGGAAATGTTCCCTGAAGGATATTGTTTCTACATCAGAAACCCTGGCCAGCCAGCCCCCTGCTCTGGCAGGAGGGGGCTCTATCTAGAGTCAGAGGCCAGGCGCCCAGCTCTGCCCTGTGTTTAGGCATCGAGGGACTCAGAGCTGGGTGGGCACTGTGCCGGCTCATCCTGAACCTCTAGTAAGCAGGGAGGGCAGGGGCGTGCAGCGTGGTCAGTCCGTGCGAGCATTGCGTGGTACCTAGAGTGTCCGGGGCAGCATCCACACAGGCACCCTCGGCACGGTCTGCCTTTACTGGAAATGAGGAGAGTATAGTTAGTCCTGGGGGTGGGTGACAGGACTGGAACAGAGAGCAGGTAACTGAGGCACTGTGACCACCAAGGGAGTTCAGGCTCACAGTCCCCCAGCCGCAGTGTTTGTGTCTGAGCAGGGACAGCAAGAAAGGGGAGCGCGCAAAAGTCTTCTGCTGCCTGGGAATGAAAACGGTTCTCTATTTTTGGAGAAAAAGAATCCCTGTGGTTTTTTCCTCCAAAAATACCCTTTCCTTCCAAAGCCAGAGTGTGGGTTCATGTTTTAAGAGATGTATTATTTTTTGCTATACTCATGCCAACAAAAATAATAATAACAATAACACATGAACCGAGATGCTACAGGAGGCCAGATGTGGGTGAAGATAGTCTGGGAGGTGACCACTGCAAAGCATGCGCCTTTTAGGGAGGGAAAAAATATGCCATTTAGCTTTACAAACCAATTGGCAAGCGGCGAGGGTTTGCCACACCAGCCTGGAATCTGTCAGCAGTGGGCTTTGATTTATTCAGGAGGCAATGGCTGCCCCCAAGTAGAAGGAAGCTCAAGAGAAGAGTCTTGGGGACATAATCATGTTTAGAACGACTGATCAAGTACATTCATCTGGGATTCCATGAGTCCACTTCATTGCCATGGCCTAAGCTAACAGAGTGCCAAGGAGAAGCCTTAGCAAAATCCCAGAAAACAGTGACCCTTTCCAAGAATCTCCCAGACTCTTGAGATTTGTTTTGCATTAGAACATGAAAAAATATTTAAGTTTTTAAAAAAAAGGAAGGAGGGAAAGAAGGAAGGGAGGGAGCAAGGGAGGGAAACAGAAAGAGAGAGAGAGAGAGGGAGAGAGAGAGAAGGAGAGAGAGAGAGAGAGAGAGAGAGAGAGAGAGAGAGAGAGAGAGCAAGAGAGCGCTGACAGACCTCTGAGGTCAGCTTGGCCTATAGAGGGAGTTTCAGGACAGCCAGGATTAAGCAAAGAAATCATTTCTTGGGAAAAAGAAAAGAAAAAGAAAAAGAGAAAAATGAGAATACAAAAACACCCCCCATTCCAGGCCTTCCTTCTTTCTGTATAGTTATAATAGCACTTCACAACTTTGTCCCTGAGAAACCAACATATAGGACCATCTCAAATCAGAAACAAACAAGCCCTAGGAAGAAAGTGCCCAGCAGTCCATGTTCCCATCACATACTTACTCAAACACAGCCGTATGTGTCACTGACTGCACGAGCCTTCCCACTTAGACACAAAGACACACTGCTCTAACTGGCGTTAACAGAAATCAGAATTGGAGCTGGGTTCCAGAGAGCACTCTGCTGACCAGGTAGGCTAGGTTAGTTCTGAAACTGTTCATGCAGGACTTGGAGTACCCGGAAGACCTCTGCCCAAGCATCCACATAGGCTTGGTGTTCTAGGTAGACAAGCAGCTCTGGGGCTCCTCAGACCCTGGAGATGTAGGACAAAGTCTGGATGCATGCAGCTGACTTACTACAGGGTATTGTCATCTGCAGCAGTCTCCATAACTTGACCCAGGGTTAAACAGCCTGCTAAGCAAGTGAGCACCTGGCTCCTTGGACCCTGGCTCCCAGTTCTATCCTGGTAACAAAAGGCAGAGGTGGTCCATTTCCAGCACCTTTGACAAATGTCCCTTTTACCCCCCAGCTCTATGACTTCTTGAGAATCCTGGGCCTGAGGCCCAGGTCTGCTACATAAACCATGTCTGATAGTTGTGTTGTCTAGTTTGGTAGCCACTGACCACTGAGACTCACGAATGAATTCCAGCTGTGTCCATTTTAATGAATGTAGTATATGGCTTGTCATTCTTGTCTGAGAAAACATGGCTTGAGAGCTTGACAAGATCTGGGGATGAGGAAGCTGCCTTCCACAGCCTTCTCTGATTAGTGGGTACCTCCAATTTGGGCTGGTGTGACCATTCCCTCTGATGCCATTTTTCTGCCCCATCAGCAAAGTGAAGCTATATCTTATCTGCAAATGATTGGCTAATCTCAATCATAGGCAGATGCCAACTGGCCAGCCCATGAGGATGCCAAGCCCAGTGGAGAACAGATTGGCCCACAGACACTGGCTAAGGCCAGACAGAGCAGATGGGCACCAAGACACATAGACACCTCTATCTGTGAAGAAGACTGGACCTGTATGGACAAGAAGGGCAAAGCCAGGGATAGGGGATTCCTTTAGGCACAGGGTAGGAGACAGTGAGAAAGACGATAGCCCACAAAGGACAATCACAGCAACTGTGGTCACAAAGAACACTGGTACAGCACAGGCCTGAGCTCCCACCTGCCCTGGCTCCCCTGATCCAGATGCCCCCAGTGTTTATAGCCTAGTCACATAGGTCTCCTCAGGAACAAACCACCCCATGCACCTTCATCATGGAGGCACAACACACCAAGAAGGTACCTTTAGGTAGCTGAGGGAAAGGTCCTGGGTTCACACCACCCACTGGCCCAGAAAGATAATGTCAGCTGGCCCTGCCAGGGAAAGTGTAAGGTTGTGTCCAGAGCCAGTCAGAAACATGGCCACTGACTCCTTCTAGGTTGGTTCAGTCCAAGGATAGCAAGACTCTGGGAAGCCAGGCTTGCCCCTCCCCCACTTAGCATTTAGACAAGAACCCAGGGATAGGCTCACACCACTATCTGTCTCCTAAGTAGCAGTTTCCTGTATCCTTCCTATGTTCTTGGTGCTAAAGACGGGGTTTAGCTGCTCCTGGAAGAGGCTAGAGATATTACCCCACCCTCCATTACCTGGCCAGCAGGTATACATTCTAATGAAGGAGTGGGGGTCCTCACTGACAGAAACTGTTCCTCACTCCCTCAGCACTTAGCTCTCCAGGTTCCCCAACCTCCTTGAGGATCCCAGTGTCCGTGCAAAGAACCTGTACACCCTTCCCAGGGATGGCAAATCTGTTGCCTCAACTGAGCATTTTGGGAGCAGGGTGTCCCGGAAAGTAGTCACTAGCCCTCAGGGAAGGGTGTAGAGGTACAGGCAGGCAGGGGCCACTGACACGCAGGGAAGACAGAGGAGTGGCAGGGTGGAGAGCAGGGGAGCCACGGAACATACCGGTGAGCCAGGGGGCTCCCGTGGGTCCTCACCTTGTGTCCTGCTTTCAGGGTCAGCACCTCATCCCAAAAGACAGAGCAGACGAGAAAGGGGCCCAAGAAGGGCAGTAACAGTGATTAAAGCACTTGGGGGCAGCAAGATTTTCCAGATGGGGGCAGAAGAGGAAGAGAGAGAGAGAAAGAGAAAGGCTGAGACGAGACTCGCGCAGAGAGTGCTAAAGCTATGGCAACAAGCGCAAGGAGCTGCTAGAGGCCAGAAGCCTCCTGGGCAACTTGTTCCCAGTCAGGGCGCAAGGGTCAGACAGTCAGGGCAGTGTGGAGATGAGACAAGAAGCCTCCAGACCCATCACCATCAGGGAAGCCTCAGTCCACCTCGGGCACAGCCCTGGTGTACATAACCAAAGGGACTCCCAGTCCCAGGCTCACTCAAAATAGTACTGAGAGAGGGGAAGGCCAGAATAGCCATGATGGACAGTGAGGAGTTGAGTGGGTACCCTGGCACAGCGAGGCTGCCAATACTCTCCTGTTTTACCCACACCAAGGCCAGGTGAGGCTAGCTCCTTTACCTCCACATGTCAACAACCAAGACTACACTAGACTGACCGTCTCTTCCCAGCTAATTTTCTTAGTGACCAGGGTTTGCCATCATTGGCTGTCCCTTTAGCTGATTTGGGAAGCCTTGCCAGTCTTTGCAATTCAGGACACCACCTATAAATTCTCCTTTTGTGGGATGGGAAAGGACAGTGTTGTTCTCTGATGGACAGAGAACTGGTTCAGCCTAATTCCACCCTCCCCTGGACAAGAGCAGTTTTTAGATACTTTAGATAATCCTGGTATCTGGGCAGGCATATGGAGTCAGGCAAATCTCCTTCTGAGACCTAAAGTCTATGAGCCCTATACACATTGTACCTTGTGGACAGGTCACTAAGGGGAGGGACATACTTAGCTTAAAGACCTTGATGCACACTGAACTTAAAATCTTTGAGATGGTCTTTCTTTGCTTATAAGCGCTAGGACAACACAGTCTCTTTCTATCTTTCTCTACCAAGCAGAGCTGACACTGGATCCCCACAAAACCAGCCTGAACAAATGGAGCCTTGGAGGCCAGCAGGGATCAGGAGAGAAAGCAGTGAGGTGGGAATATCCTTGGAGGTATGAGAGGGGCTAGGGCACCTCAGCCTCCTCAGTAGGACTCCGGCTCATCCACCCCAAAGGCTATCAGGTAGTAAGTTCCCTCTTCCCTTCTGCCAGCATTCTGAATACATTCTCCTCACCACTAGATTGATGAGAGGGGCCCCAGCTGGGGCTGCAAATTCCAGCAACATACCTGCAGGGCACACAAGAACCAACCTCAGAGTCCCCTGTGGGGCTGGCCTGTGGGCAGGGTTGGGGAGGATGATTCCAAGAAGTCCCACCCCCCGTGCTGCCCAATTCCCTTTGAGGAGGAGTGACCGAGTGTGCTAGGACACACAGTCACTTGCTGCACATAGAAGCACACTCAGGGCCCCCTGGTAGCCCTGCCCCATGACGAATGGTGTACACAGTTGGAACAAGGCAAGATTAGGTACAGCACACACGGGGGCAGCTGGAGGCAGGAGGAACTGACCTTGGTGATGGCTCTGGCTGTGGCTCCTTCCTTCAAACAGAGGAACAAAGAGTTAGTCTCTACCCTCTCTGGCAGCCCCATAGCCCAGGAAAAGGGACCTCCCTTGGCCCCCTCTAGAATCTCTCTAACCTACTCAGGCCCTGGCCTCAGACATGACACCTATCCTCACATCCACAGGTTGGGTTGTATGTCACGGGACCTGGTGCAGAGAACCATCCTCCTAGGGTACCTGTCCTTTTGATGAGGTACTACAAGGCCCAGAAGCAAGGCTGGGAGAAGGAAGGGGCTCCCAAGGGAACTGTGGTCTTCTGACCCAGGAGGCTCCTTTATTGGATATTAATGGATGCTCATTTTAACACAATCATGCCAGTGTAATAATAAAGTTTCAGAAAGAAAATGCAGCTGAAGAAAGCTCTTGACTTAATGGAATTTCCCTCCTCCTGTGCAATTCTTCAGTGATAGCAGGAATCAGCCAGGGATTTTGCCACAGTCCACTGTCATGCCTGTCTTAAGGCCGGTAGTCATTCCTAGGCTTGTAGAGCTATTTTGGCCATTATTTGCTTTGCTGGGATTGATTCCTTCTAGTTGGTTTTTTGTTTGTTTGCTTGTTTGCTTGTTTGTTTGTTTGTTTTTCGAGACAGGGTTTCTCTGTGTAGCCCTGGCTGTCCTGGAACTCACTCTGTAGACCAGGCTGGCCTCGAACTCAGAAATCCATCTGCCTCTGCCTCCCAAGTGCTGGGATTAAAGGCGTGTGCCACCACTGCCCGGCGATTCCTTCTAGTTGTAATAAGTAGATGGTGGCTGGATCTTACTTAGGTAAGAAAGGAAGGTGAGGAGTGACCTCTGGTACCGTCAGGATGGTAGTGCCAGGTGTGATGAGGGCTTGTCCTACATTTCCAAAGACTGTCCAGTTCCCACTGTGGCCCTCACAGAGGAGTTATTTTTATTTATTTATTTAGGTTTTTTGAGACAGGGTTTCTCTGTGTAGTCCTGGCTGTCCTGGAATTCACTCTGTAGACCATGCTGGCTTCAAACTCAGAAATCCACCTGCCTCTGCCTCCCAAGTGCTGGGATTAAAGGCGTGTGCCACCACTGCCCAGCTCACAGAGGAGTTATACATAGTAAGGGTCTAGTTTAGGGTAATCTCCAGCACTGTGATCCTGTTGGGAGCTCAGACAGACTGAACAGGTGAGGGCTCACTTCTACCCACCCTATCAACCCTAACTGCATCTGGGAACAGTTAAAAGATTTCCTTTCTTGACTCTGAAGGCCACAAATCCAAAGTCAAGGTGTGGATAGTCAGTCCTCCAGTGAACCAGGGAAATGCCTGCCTCTTCCAGCTTTAGGGGTTCCACATCCTTAGCTAATAGCTTATCTCTCAAGTTTCTTCTTCCATATTCTTGTGTACATTGCAGCATCCTGTGTCTCCTCTCCTGACCTCTATGCAGACAGTTAGATAGCTGCTGATGCTCTTAACTTCAACAACCTGTGCAAGGGCCTTTTTTTTTTTTTCAAATTAAGGGTCACATTCACAGACATGTTTGGAGAGTTAGTGCTCATGCACCATATTTGTGTGTATCTGAGGTCTAGGATACACCACCCATCCATCCCTAAATTCCTCGAGCCTCAACCCACTGTAGCATCAACTCTGTCAGAAATCACTTGTCTGTTAAACCTCCTAAAGGAGGTTAGCAAGACTCTATGGTTGTCCTGGGGGAAGGCCCTGTATGCATAGGTATGAGTCTCATAGGCAAATCGTTCACTTGCTGGATGTAATGTAGAGACCAGCACAGGGTGACAGTTCCTCTCAAACTGGGAAGGTTGATAAAAGATCCCTGGCTACCAAAGTTTGACACCCAAAAGGCAAATTCTATTCAGAGTCAAGCTTCAGTGATAACTAACCCCTGGGTCTGTTAATCTCTACTTCTGCTGCTCTGAGGGCAGTCCATGTGGCGGTAAGTGATTGTTCTAACATCCCTCCTACTTGTAACAGTCCACAGTGTTGCCTTCATCCGCTTGTCCCACTGATCCATGGTAGAATTCACTGGTCCTCTGTAGGACCCCGAAGAGGCTCAGGATGGATGGCATTACTCAGGAGAGTCCTCCTGTATGCAACCAAGAGGTAGTCCTAGAATGGATCCCATTAGACATGAGCACCCTATTGAGGGCCTGAGGTAGCTGAGGAGTGGGTATCAGTCTACTCTAGAGGAGTTCTTTCCACAGCTCTCCTGGATAAGCTTCTTCATTCCTGACTTTCATCAAGATGATTGGCTGGACCAGAGTCGCACACCTACTTTCTGCCCTATCTTCAGCTTGTGCTTTGTAGCTGAGCTGCCTCTCCCTGAAATGCTTCTCCTCAGCCATAGCCCTTTGCTATCTGGACAGGTTGAGAATGTCCCCAGATCTCCAAGTTCAAGTTTCTCATAGGGGTTCCTCAACTTATTTTTCTTCTGAAATTCGACAATGAACATCAAGGAGAAATTAGGCTGCACTCTTTGTATGGATAGGAAACCTCCCTCAATGACTGAACAACCAAATCCACCACTTATGATTTTGCTTCACCCAACAGGAAAACACAGCTCAAGCAAGCCTTTGATAATCTACCACAGGTACAGATGCTACCTTTCCTGGGTTTCAGTAACACATTCTTCTCTGACTTCTTTCTGAATGGTATCGATTCCCATTTAGTTTGGATATGAAGTATCTCCTTGAATATGTCATGGGCTGAGGTTTTGGTCCCCAAATAGTGGCATCATTGAGAAGAGAGTGAGTTAACCTTATCCCTGAGTTAATCTATTCATGAGTTCATAGGCTATTCACAGGTGCAGGAAAATGCAGAAAGAGACAGATAGTGGAGTGTGACTTTGAAGGGTGAATCATGCCCCTGGCTTCTTCTTGTCTCTCTCTTCTTCCTAACTGTCACAAGATGAACAGTTTTTACCCACTACACCCTTCTACCATGATGTTTCTGGCCTTGCCATGTCCTACAGGCTACAGAACCAACCAACCATAAACCGAAACCTCACTTCTTGGGAGACTTCCCAGAGCATCTTTTTAACATCCATACCTCCACTAACCATCCCTTCAAGGTAGTGTGAGCTTCAAATCTCTTCCAGACCTAATCACTACCCAATCTGAAACCCACTGTCACACTTTTGGGTGTTCGTTACAACAGCACCCCATTTTATCGGCTCCGAATCTGAGTTATCTATAGTTTCAGTAACATGACATCACAATCAGGTTGTTAAACCCACACAAGTTACTCTCTGACAGTCTTAGAGTAGAGACACAGAAGTCAAGGTGTTGCTGGGCTGAACTCCTTCACAAACTCTAGGAAAGGATCCACCTTGCCACTCCAGGTGCCTTTGGTTTATGGCTATATCACTACAGTCTTTGCCTGTGTCTTCATTTAGCTTCTGCCCTGTTAGTTTCTCCAAAGTTCTCTCTTCTTATACGGAGATAATGAATGGATCCAGAATCCACTCAGAAAATCCAGGTGTAGAATGGTTGCTGGAGGGCACATTAGCAGGTTCCGAAGTGCCCACATATGTTTAGGAGCAGGGCCTACCATCAGCCCACTGCTACCCTCCTGTCCTTTTTTTTGGGGGGGGGGAGTTTCGAGACAGGGTTTCTCTGTGTAGCCCTGGTTGTCCTGGAACTCACTCTGTAGACCAGGCTGGCCTTGAACCCAGAAATCCGCCTGCCTATGCCTCCCAAGTGCTGGGATTAAAGGCATGCACCACCACTGCCCGGCCCCTCCTGTCCTTCCAAAGGCTCTTCGGAGACAGGAATTTGCTTGCAACTCTAGCCTTGTTCTCTACTTCTGTGGAGAGCAAGCCCTTTTTTATACCCAACACTGGTCCAAACACTGTGAGTCACAAATTCTGTAACTGAAAGACCAGCAGGTACTACTGTGAACATACTACCACCCAACTCTGGGAATGCAATACTGAGACACTTCCCACCTAAGCATGAGCCATGAATGAGTCAGATGATCCTTTATCAAAGTCCTCTCCTTATCCCACCCACCTCGTGCCCATTCCCTTAACCAGCTACTCCTCTAGGGATAGGATCCTTAATCTAGCTAGCAGAATCTAACTAGTCTTTAAGACTAGTAGCCAAGCATACCCCAGGGCTTTTTTGTCACTAGCCAAAGTTCTAGAGCCTCTGAGGAGACCCAAGCTGCTCACTCTACCCCAGTGTTCCAGCCTTAGCTTGGTAGGAGACCCTGTGCTGACCTGAAGGTGAGTCCAGATTTGCTCTTGAGATTCCTCAGCAGCTCCAGCTGGTTCAGAGGCGGGATGAGTCTGAAGCAAGAGAAGGAGAGGTGAGTAAGCCTAACCCCCTAAGAGCTGAGGCTAAGCTCTGCACACCCACATCTACTCCATCCATGGGAGCAAACAGCAGATGCCAGAGCATGGGTGTAGAACACCTGAAGCTCTGGGCTCAGTGCCTCCACCTCTCCCAAGCTCCAGGGCTGTCCTTACCCACCCCCACTCATGTTGTTCCTAGGGCCTGGGGCCTCAAGCACAGCCCTGTTCCAGCCCTTCGCCATGGAATCGATCAAGAGAGCAGAGTCCAGGTAGGGTGCTTCTTCCCAACCTCTCTTCTGCTCTTATTTCCGTGCCCCTGAAATTTTTCAAGGAGCTACAAACAGCACCCCAACGTATTCAAGTTCTCAGACCCTTAAGTCCCTTTGCAGAGCTTCTTTGCCTCCAAAGGTTGGAATGGTGCAGGAGGAAGGTCACAGAAAAGGGCTTTGCTGGGCAAAGAGAAGCTCATTTCTAGGTCTATAGGATGATTATCCTAGACAACTGAGAAGAAAACTCTGGTCACATCAGGCCCTGATGCTTTGAGGACCCTAAGCATATAACATGGCTCTGTTCCTTTTTCCTTACCTGGTCATACACCACTGGCAGCCCATGTCAGGCCTGCCTGCCCTGGCGTTTGGTCAGTCCAATGCCACAGACACAGTATAGGGAAGGCATGTTCCTATGAGGAAGGTGAACCCTTGCCTCACAGGGGTAAAAAAAATCTCCTCGTCCCATCTCACTTTCAGCCTTAGACCCTCTGTTTCCTCCTGGCAAATGCCTGTTCCATGAAATCACCTCGTATTAGAATAAACACAGCAGTCCCTTGGCTCCCATGACCCCAGGCCCTGCCATTCATTTCCCAGTTCTGACCCTACCTGCTCCAGGACACCTTCACGCTGCTGATCCTCCTGTGTCTCTATCAGCACTGGCCTCCTAGAGTCCCGACTACACATCAGGCTCCTCAGGACCCCCCCCCCACCTCATCTGGTCTTTCATTCTTGACCCCTCAGCTAAAAAGCACAGGGCTTAGGTTCCTACAGCCCTGAGCCACCTCCTAGCCCAGCATGGCCAGCCGTCCTCTCTGTGTGACCGTTGGTACTGGAAATGTCCTGTGTCTTCCTCTTCCCTTTGCTCACCTCACTGGGACTCTCTCAAGTCTCTCGTCATCTCTCTGCCCTACCCCCACTCCAGTGGGTCTCTCAAACATGCTCAGCAGCCTTACTCTTCTCCCACTCAAACATTTAATGGCTCCCTACAACCTAAAAAACAGAAAGGCCACTGAGTTCACTGGCCAACTTGCCCTTCACTCCAATCCTGTTCCTCCAGACAGAGATACCCACTCTACACTCCTGAGCCACTATTGCCTCTGGCTATCTTCTCCTCCCCTCTTCCTTTACCCCTATAGGTTGCACAGGCTCTGGCAAGGGCAGCTACATCTGGACCTTCTTTGCTTCACAGCCCCAGGGTCAGACCTAGTAAGGCTCTGGTTTAAAACAAAACAAACAAACAAACAAACAAACAAACAAACAAAACCCTACAACCCTGTGAGCTTCTCTCCCCTTACCCTTTTCTGCTTCCCTTCCCCGAAGCCATTCATCGTCCTTGACAGGTCAGCTTGAAGCAGGAGCCTAGCAATCAGTTAGTCAGCTAGTGAGTGCCATAAGGGCCGGCCCTCTACTTTTTCACCCAGCCCTGGGGCCTGGAGCAGGGTCTCTGGCACAGCCCTCTGCCTTGGACACCCACACTTACCACCACCACACAGGTCAGGTTAGACACATGTAAAATCAGCCCTCCCAGCCACACTGGATGCATGCCCAGGACACACAAAAGCAGCAACCAGGGGCAGACACATGGAGTAGGGCCGTGCACATAGCTGGTCACCCCTGAGCAGTCACAAAGGATTGGGGGAGGAGCAACCCCAGGAGAGTATGGGCTAATCTGAGAATACTGTTGGTCTTATGGGACAACTCTAGCTACACAGGTTGGAAGCTCTGGGGGACATTTTCTTTCTAAGTGTGGTGCTGGCTGGAAAAGATGGGCTGAGGTAAGAAGCATGAGAGGACAGGACATGGGTCTTCTACTTGCCAGGAAACTGGGAGCCCTTGGAGAGTCAGGACATTAGATGCTTCTACCACAGTTACCTGTGCCTCTGGGGTCTGGGAAGATGTCCAAAGGCCTACCCAGGAATCATTCTATTTTGAGAGTCAAGTGCTTAATCTCCTAGTCCAGTCCCTATAAAAGGTAGGAGACAGGTCACAGCTACAGAGAAAAGAATCTATATCTGCTATTGGATCAGGTCAGGAAGGACTGACCCACTTTGTAAGGCTGTGCTGGTTTGGGAGTCTTCCTCTAGCATAGACTTCACCCAAGCAGGGTAAGGAGGTGGCTCACCTTCTACATGTGGAGTACGACTTCCTGAGTAGCACAGCTACCTGCATATAAGCAAAGACTGTTTCCTGCTTCCCACCATGGCCCTGAATACAGCAAGAAGGAGCCACCATCCAGAATAAATGGCCCTGTTCCCTGGGCCTTCATTCTTTCTCCACTGTGATATAAAGACTCCAGGGTCATGGGGGCACTCAGACACTGGAAGGGAGAACCTTGGGCAGATGTGCAAAGTAAGATTCTAGTCTGGGATGTGCTCCTGGTCCTAAACATAGATCCCTTAGAAACACAGTTAGTCTCACAACAGACACTGCTCATAAGTAGAGGCAGGGTTAGGGAACCACAGCTGTAAGACATGGCAGGAAGCAGGCCAAAGAACAAGACACACTGAGGACAAGGGGTACAGCAACAGGGAAGCAGCAGCTAAGGAAGCAGGAGTCAGAGAGGCAAGGTGTGCTCACACTGGCCCAGAAGGCACTATAGGTTAACAGAGGGATTCCAGGCAGGAAGAGGCCATCGGGTGACAGGGTCTGACGAGGGTAGCATGAGGACTATAGGGCAGGTGCTCTAGGATGGGATATGAGCTCTGGAGGGCTTGCCCCACCCCAAACTCAGACAGACGAGAGCTACACACATCTTCCATCCCATGCATGTCCTACCTGGAGGCCCCATAGGTTTGAGTTTGTGAGCTTTCAAGGGTTTCACACGCACACACACAAAGGGAAAAGAACCAAATATTTTAAAAGAACGGGATAAGAAAAAGAAAATGAAAAGAAGAAGTAGAGGGAAGTAGGGGGAGACAACAGAATAAAGAAAATTAGCCCATAGCTCACTCAGTCCTGTCTCAATGCCCTGCAAGGAGCATGGAGCTTGAGGCAGGGCCAGGTGAGGGCTCAGGGCTGCAGAGAAGCCTGGGGTGAGTGCTGATGGCAAAGCCATCTTTGTCTTGAGCAATGCCTTGCCAAGACTGATGTAGGCAGAATGGTCTACAGTCTATCTGACCATTGCTGGTTGTCAGATCCCTGAAGATTATCCCCAGCCCAGGAGTCCTGACAGAGCTCTGTGCCCATGCTACCTGGGTATGATGGCTCAGATAGAAACAGGTGGAATGAAATGGTCTGACTCAGGTAATGAAGCTGGAGAGACCTGATCTTCTGTGCTCTCTCTCTCTCTCTCTCTCTCTCTCTCTCTCTCTCTCTCTCTCTCTCTCTCTCTCTCTCTCTTTCTCTCTCTTCAGTTCAGGGTGAGGAGACAGTACCCAAGGAGCTTGGACTTACAGCTTTGGGCCTCACTGCCTTGCCTCACATTTTCATCTAAGCTTTGTGTGCATAATTCCCAAGCCAGTGCTGCCACCTGTCTTCTGAGCAGTGGCCCAGAGGCCAGCTGGCACTGTCCCCTGGTGGCCCCCAGAAAGGTACTTCCTGACCTTTTCTGATTTCCAGATTTTCCTGGGGTGTCCTGTGTTTTGTGTTGCTGGGATGCTGGGGGGTCCTCTTCATGATATAACAACTTTCCTAACTCTAGACTCTCACTGTAGTCTGGATTATTCCCTACATGTACGCACTCCATAGTTGTTCTGGTCTTTGCTGGAGAACACAGTCAAAAGAACAATCACCTCTATACTTCTTAAGTCTTGGGCTGCTAAAGGCTTTGCAGCCTCCAGCACTAAGGCCAGCATTCATTTCATGGAATGTTTTGGAGTGGGGATCACAACACAATGTACCCCAAAAAGGAATGGAAAGCAAAGGATGGGTACAAGACTAAGAAATAAAAGCCACAACACTATAAAACAAAGAACAAAAATCAATACTGTGAAATAAATCACACAGAATCTTTTGTGGAAAAATACATACACTTGAAAACAAATACAAATCAATGGGGTTTAAAGAACAAATGTAAATTAAAAAGCAAACCACCATGCAGGGTGGTAAGGCTGGGCCTGGCGCAGTACCTGTACATGGGGACAGTGACTGTCCGCTCGTAGTACTGCCACGTGGAGTGCAGGTCGGTGCGTGAGAGGTTAGTAGCATAGAATCTCCAGGCAGACTGCAGTGGAAAGAGGTGAGATTGTTGTGGCAGGGCCGAGGCTACTCATCTCCAGGGACCTCACCCACAGAGAACTGCAGCCCCATGCCTGTCCTCACCCCACAGCCTCAGTTTAACCTTGTGGGACAAGCATGATGCCTCCAGAAGCTGGTGGAGTATGACAGATACTCTGCCTCTCGCTCAAAGCGAGTCTGCAGTGAGCCTTGGTGATCTTCATCCCTTCTATCTTCCTTGACAGCGAGTTGGTGACTTCATTGCCTCTCCAGTCCAAACAAGTCTTACTCCCAACCCCATGAAACCTGGGAATGGGGACAAGGCTAGGAGGACTCGACTCCTTTCACCAGGCAAGGTAGCCCAGACAAGGTGGCCCAGGCAAGGTGGCCCAGGCCCAGGCTTCTTCACTGATTCAGGCATCTTTCCATTCTGTATACATTGTTTTCTTTTTGTATATTCATCAGAATCCACATAATATGAAGTCTACCATTTTGATTCCTTTAAAGTACACATAGCACTATGTGACCGTAGCAACAATCTATCCACAGCTTCTTACCCTTAAGAAGGCAGGCCCACACAATAAAGGTGACACTTCCCTTCAGACTTCCTGCCAGGCCCTGGCAGCATCAGTCTTTCCGTCTCTATGGATTTCACTGCTTTGGAAATTTCCTATCATGGAATCTCATGATTGTATGGTCTGCCTGTTAGTTTCTTGCATGGAAGGAAAGGCCCTCCGAGCTGAGGGTTGTGCACTGAGCTGCATCCCTTTTGGGACTGAATAACACTTGATTGTACAGACATATCACATACCATTTTGATCATCCACCATTGACCGTGACTCACACATATTTTGGCTGTTATATACATTATAAACATGGAGGGTTTTGGCTAAACACCTGTTTTGGGTCCTAACAACTGGAGTGAACATGTGGGAAAGGCAACAATGTTCCATGTCACATGGGTAAAAATGTGGGCAACAATGTTACATGTCAGGTGGGTAACAATGTTATGTGTCACTTTCTTTTCCGGTTGTTTTCATTTATTTGGTTGGTTTGTTTTGGGTCTTAACTGCTGAGCCATCTCTCCATCTAGAGAACTACACTGTTTTGATTGCTACAGCTTTATAATAGATTTAAAATCTGAAAGTGTAAGAGTCCCCATAATTTGTCCTGCTTCAGTGCTCTCCTGGAATATCCAGAGTCCATTGTAATTCCACAAATACCTTAGGATTAGCTTTCCCATTTCTGAAAGGGGGTGGAGGGCACTGGACCTGCATGCCAATGTTTGGGAAGAACATTTTAATGAGATTATGTCATCCAGTCCTTGAACATGGGATTTTTTTTACTTACTTTGGTCTCCATCAATCTTTTAATAAGATCAAGGACTACATGAGGTCCAGGCTAGCCAGGCTGACTTCTATAGAATGCTTTGAAGACACAGAAGGCCTGGTACCTCCTCTGAGACTCCCCCTCCAAGTATTTTTCTGCTTGGAAGCCAGAATCATAACCAGGTGATAAGCCTCTTGAAAAATCAGTCCTTCTACCCCTGCACCTACATGAGGGCTACTGGGGTCATTGCTAACCAAAGCTTTGGCCCCAAATATGTAGAAAAATCATCTTTGCTCAAAGGAAGACCCTTTGATCAACTGTTCTACCACAATGTCTTTACCTTGTGGTCATGCATCATAAATGGGCTGGAGATGTTTTGAAGCTCTGGAAACCACCCTGAAATTTACAGTGGGGAAACTGTGTAGGCAAGACAAGTAAGGAGGCATTTGTAGGTGAGGCAGGAACAGCTATGCTATTGCTCTTTCATGGTAGATTCACAGGGTGCTGTTGAATGGCCTTTGAATATATGGGGGTGGTACTCAATTTATGTTGTTCCCTATTAAACATTTTGGCCCCATGGACATGTAGTTATTTTATTTTTCAAATGGGCATTCTGTTCTTTTTTTTGTATATTTTGACATTACAAAACAATATCCATATGTTTTATGGTGAAAGCTGTGCAGTACATATACAAAAGGAAGCTGGAATCAAGGTTGAGACTGTGAAAGCCACATCTTTAAAAAGAAAGACAGATACAGGGCCATATTCATCTGGCAGGAAATCTCCGTGTTCTGCATGCATGTTCAGGTGGCCTGCATATCCCACCTGCCCCTAAATGGTTAGACTACCTGAGCAAGTGCAGAGCAGTAAGGCACAGTGTCCACAGCTCAGGCTGATGTGGCACAGATGTGCCTCAGGAGCCACTTGCTACCAGACTTTCAACTTCTCTAAGCTGTGAGTCTCACAGATGCAGGATAGGTGTGATGAGACACCTACCTCATAGGACACTAACAATGACCTAGATGGTTCCTGAGATAGTATTAACCTGAGCCTAGTGGCCACCGGGGATAGGATCATCCAGCAGCAGTACCGTGAGTCACTAGGTGTGTAATTTATTCTTATGCTGAACACAACCTTGTTTTCCAAACCCAGGCTATAGCCTATCCATAGACAGGGAAAAGCATGGTACAGCCCTTGTCAGTGCCAAGATCCTAGTGGGCTCCCTTCTAGGTAAGGTGGAATCAGAACAGGGGCTGGTCCCTAAGAGGGACTAAGGCTCACCTGGATCAGACCTGCCGCAGGGTTCCGCCGTTTCTCAAAGTGTTTTTGCCGATGCTGCTCTTGTACTTTCAGGGCAAAGCCGGATCCCAAAATGCCCTGCAAGTTACTGAGGTCAGACCACATCCTGGGACCATTCCCCTCCTCCACCCTTGTCTACAATACTTGTATTTTGTGGGTGCACCTTCCTATATCCTTGGAATTCTTTAACACTTCCAGGTCTGCGGAACCTCTGGTTAGCAGAAGGCAATGCCTAGTGATCCCAATCAGGAGCCATCCTAACCTTCTGTGTCCCCAAGGCAGCTGCAGTCAGCTTCTCTGCCAGCCCCAAAGCAACAGTCAATATGCCCATCCCATTCTTTATATGATAAATGAGGACCCCCCACTATCTAGAGTCATTCAGATAGGAAAGCCATAGAAATCAACAGAGCCATGTGAGACAGCCTGATCTGAAGACACTAGAAGTGTGCCTAAGGAGGCTACAGGCATCTAAACCAGAACAGTCTCACTCTGGGTCTAATCTGGGGCCTCTCTAGGGGCTGTGAACCCCACAGGGACCTGCTCCTATCCAAGATCTTCATAGTTCACAGGTGGGCCCCGTCTTACAGGAAGCCTTTAAAACCCCTAACATCCCCAAAGCAGGACGGCATGCAGGACTCACAGCAGGAAGAGCGAAGAATGAGACACCAATGAGGGTGAACGTCGCTGCCAACAGCCTCCCGTTCCAGGTCTGAGGGTACTTGTCCCCGTAGCCAATGGTCGTCAGGGTGATCTGAGGGGCAGGGGCTCTGGTCACTTGGGCAGGCTGGCAATGGCCTGCCACAGAGGCCACAATCCCAGGCCAGATGTCCCTGCTCAACCATGGGAAGTTCACCCAAGTAGTTTAAGGGAAGCTGGACACTGATGACCACTCAGGTTTTGGCTGGACCGACAGAAGGGTCATCCTTCCTACATCATCCATACTAGGGCAAAACAAGGCCAGGATCAGTGTAGGTTATCTTTTATTCTAAAATCCCCAATCTTTCTTCTACACTAAAAGGGGAATCATTCCCAAGGCTCTCCTAATTCACACTTGAGAGGGTAGACTCCACAGTTTACACACAGGCACCAAGAAAGGAGAGCAGTTTTCATCGTTGGCATTTCTAACCCCTGCTCTGTGCTCAGAGGAAGGAGCATCAGTTAATTGTTAAGTGCCCACCAAGTCAAGGGTCAAGATCAAGGAAGTGCAAGGATTCCAGGTTCACAGAGTGTTAGGAGTCAGAAAGGCCTAGGAGAACAGGATTCAGGGAGAAATGGGGGCAGTCTAAGAGAGGGTCTGGCCCAGGAGGGGAGGAAGCAAGGGATAGTGGGTAGAAGGTGGCCGAGAAGACAGATAGGTAGTAGCAAGGGGGCTGCATTTTAGAAACCCATGGACATTTTAAAATACAAGGATTACTTTGAAACAATAAAGATAAAATGTTTGCTTCAGTTCTGAAAGAGAAAAAAGGCCTAGACTCAAGAAAATTTTGAAAAGAATGGGCTACATCTCTCTCACAGGACCCTGGGGCCAGCTGATTACAGTTCAGGACCCCTGGGTGCCAAGCTAACTCCCTCAGCAGAGCCTGGGCATGCACAATCAGACAATCCAGCTATTCCTGCTTTGTGCCTATCACACAATCTCCTCTATCAGTCATCTCCAGCCTTAAACTCTCTTCACTCCTAATAGCCCTGCTTCTTACCAAAAGGACATGAGGTTCCAGGCCTGTGGACATTAGTAATATCACAAATAAACTGCCCTGTGGCTTCACCCCAGGGTCAGTTGTCTGATCCTCCCTGAGTGACTCTGCAAGCACAGCATCTGCCTAGGTCATCACCTCAGGGCTTGTCAGGTGATAACAATCTCTGCCTGAGCCTCTAAGGAGTCTAAAGTATTGGGGGAGGGGCTAGGAGAAACCCGTATCTCTTTGGAGTAGATCTCAGGGCTAGTGTGGGCTTCAGAAAGCAAGATCAGAAAACAGGGGCCTAGGAAACCTGTCTTCCATGTCCACTCCAAGCAGAAGTCCAAAGATGACTAATAGGCCCTTCTGGAAAGGGGCAGTGAGAGAGGACTTCTGGAGCATCTTAGGCAGAGTCAAGCATGGTGAGCCTCAGGCACAAAGGCCACTTGGGCAGCACCAAGTCTTAGGGAAGCTGCAATTAAGGCCACTGCCAGCAGGCTGCAGACCACCTAAAAAACATCTCGGAGAGTCAGAGCCTGTGTTTTCCATTTGCACTGTGCAAATGTGTACCCAACTTTTACATGGCTCCTGGAGATCCAAACTGAAGTTCCCATGCTTTTGAAGCAAGTACTTTATCTACTGAGCCATCTTCACTTTGAATTCTCCTTTATCCCTCACAATGAAAGATAGGATTGACTGGAGATGGAAGGCCAGCAGTAAGCTCCTGGAATGGTAGCAATTGGCCTTGGGAATGGAAGGCCAAGATAACAATGTTGCCTTCACCTTCATACTGTTCCAAAGTTCTTAGAGTCATTCAAACTCTTGAGCTGGGGAGCCCCAGGATGGCTTTATTCTGGTCATTACCCTCAGAGCCTCAATATTCCCCCACCCTAATCTTTCTCCTATACAGTTCAGTGCCAAGTGAGGAACTGCAGGAAGGTAATGGGGAGAGAAAGAAGCCCAGTCTGTCTCCCATCACATCTACCAACACGGGAAGCACATCAGCCTCAGTTGTCATCATGTCCACAGCCAGCCACCAAGGTGTCCTCCAAGAGACATGCCCACCCAGCTCAGCCTAAAGGCAACTAGGTTTCTCCTTCAGGTCCCAAGGGGTAGGGTGTATATCCTTAGGATAGCAGTAGTCAGAGGATGTGAAGGAGGAAGGAATGGTGACCAATGACCAGGACTTACCAGACCCCACCAGAGTGCATCCGCGTAGGTGTCGAAGTGGTCATTCTCACCCTTTTCTGCCAAGTACACCAAAAACGAGGCCAGGATGAGGCAGAGGAAGCCAATGTACCAGGCAGTGACCAGCTCCTGCAAAGGCAGGAAGCCACGTCATTGTCTCACTCAGCCTGGAAGCCCAGCATGGGAGCCCTGCCCTCAACTGTGCAGCTCAGAGAATTGGAAGATGTAATCCCATCCTGATGCCAGCAAGGTACAACTAGAGTAGACACTGGTCAGGTTTGGCAACAGGGCTTGTCCTGAATAATGAAGTGACTGCTGGCTGTATAATGCAACTTTCAACTATTTTAGCCCTTTAAACACCCTGTTCCTGGCTGGGGAAGCACATACCCCATAGCCAGCAGCTGGGGTCCCAACACTGTGGAGAAATCCCCCAAAAGGGGTACAGGCCTCAATGGGCATATATTCAGTTCCCAACACTCAGGGTACGCAGTGCAGTCCAGGAAGCTCAACTTCCCCAGAGCCAAGTGCCTGCCCATACATGATCACGGCTGACAAAGGGGAGGGAGGTCAGACAGGATAAAGAGCATTTGAATCAATGAGAACATAAAGAGCACAAGGTCTCATAGACAACCTGGCAGAAACCAGGTCTTGGCCACTGAGGACTCCTTCAACACAGAATGTGTACCCACAGCCACCCCGTAAGTACCCTGGTCAGCAGCCACCACAAGCCACAGTTTAAACAACCCCTAAGTAGGTGATTCAGGCAGAGTATCGATCCAGGCCTTCAGAACCAAGAAGGGAAATGCTCAGCTACAGGGGCTGCCGCTACAGGAAGGATTGCTCACACTAAGAATAGAAAACAGCTTCTGAGGACAGGAGAGGAAGAGAGTCAGCCATGGGATAAAAGGAATGGCTCGTTTATATCTTGCCTGGTCTGTGACTACATCAGCTTAGAGCAGCCTGAAGCCTTGAGGTCATGGTAAACAGCAGGCCCCAGGCAGGGCCAGGGCTGCTCACCTTGCTGTGAGCGTAGACCACGGATCCCAGGAGCTTCCAGGTGCCACCCCTCCGGTCCATACGGATCATCCGTAATATTTGCAAGAACCGCAAGCTCCGAAGCGCAGATGTAGCAAAGACATTGCCCTGGGAGCCAGCAGCCAGCACAGCAATGGAGGCAATCAGCACCATGATATCTGTGGGAGACAGGCACAGATCACAGCATCTCTTCCCCAAGGCCCCCAGAGGAGGACTCAGTGGTCCCATAGACATGCAAGGTCATGTGGGGCCCTGGGAAGGGTAGTTTCCAGTGCCCACCCTGCCTACCTGTGGTGTCCAAGAGAGACTGCCCAGCACTTTGTCCCCCTCCCAACTCCTAGGCCTTGTCAGCCATGGCCTCCAGCTCCAAGTCAGTGATAAGAAGGAACTTCCAGAAGGCCCTACCCTCTTACTCAACCCATTGTGGCCAAGACAGAAATAACTCCTTCCCCAGACCCAACTCTTATGGGCATGTCCATCAGGCCTCACCAATCACACAAAATGGCTTCCTGGCAAACTTGAGCCTGCCCCTCCAGCCTCGATACCGGCAGCAGCAGCCTGCAGCCCAGATCCTCACAAAGTACTCAACACCGAATACCACGATGGTCACGATTTCCTGGGAGGTGGGAGGAACACAGATGAAGACACTACCAGGCCTTAGGAGGGCTACCTCTATACTACATGACAGTTTTGGGACAGGGATGGATAAAGCTCCAAGGATCATAAACTAGAAATCAGGGCTTCAGGCTTAGCTCAAGCCCCATAGGACACCCAGTTCATGTCATCCAGGATTGAATCCCTGCTAGAAACAGATCCTCCGGGGACTTACTGCTGCCAGCAGGTCCTGTAGACCACCAGAGGAACCCCCCCCCTTCTCGCCTCCCTTCTGAGCTGCAGTGGGAGGCTCTGGTGTCAGTGTGAGGGATGGGCACAGCAGGGCTGAGCTGAAAGAGTTCCCAGCCATACCAAAAGGAAAATAGGTTCCTGTAGAATTCAGGCAGCTCCAGGGCAGTGGGGCAAAGTGGGTGGAAAAGCACTCTAGTGGGATCATTCTTGAAGGGCCACCTCCGTTACCAACGGCAACAGAGGAATTACAGTCCCGTTTCCATGACACCCACCCCTGTCCCGTCACAGGGTTTATGTGAGTGAGCATCATGGCCTCCCACCCCTTCACCCACATCTTCTGGGGAGCACCACACACTTCAGTGGAGGCACCTGAGTACTGAGACATAAGAAAGCAAGGCAGAAAGGGGGGATGGTGAGGACCACTGGATATTGTAACATTACTTCTAGGGACTAGGAAGCTGAGAAGGGGCTTGAGGTCTCTACACCACCATGCTGGGAACAACAATAGCTGTGTGTGTAAGAAAGAACACTAACTACTCTGGAGGAGACCATGTATGCAGGAGGCCTGGCTCAGAGAGGATCAGGGTTGAAAGCAGAACCCGAAGCAGAAGTCCAGGGGTTGGGAGGTAGGCTGTGCTGTAGAGGTCCATTTCCCAGCCTCCAAGCCTCTCCCCATGCCCTGCCCAAGTGTGGAGCTTACCAAGATGTAGAGGGCCCCCTCAGAGCTCTTCTCGTACTCCTTGATGGTGGAAAACACAGAAAGCACAAGGCAGGAGAAGACTAAAAGAAACCTGCAGGAGGTGAGAGATACACAGTCAGTGGGCCAGCCACAGCCTGTGTCTAATCAGCTTGCATGCCTCGGACTCAGACCTTAGAGGGTCTTCAGAGCACAGTGGGGAGGGGAGGGGTGGGATACAGTCTGCACCTGTCTCCTGCTACCCAAGACTCCACCATCACACCAATTGCAGACCAGGCCCCTCAGTATAATTGTATATCTGGTTTTAGCAAAGGCAGCCTTAGCTAGTGCAAAAAATGATAAAAAGAACCAACTCCACACTGTTGGCCCTATAGAAGGTAAATATTCATTCTTTTACCTGGTATGCAACAATTCCTCCCTAGCTTCAGAGGCAGAAAAACTCTCTTCCAGCTAGATGGGGTGCTAAACTCAGATCATCTTTCTGGGCTTTCCCTAGCTGCCACAATGTTTCAATTTCTCCTTCCTTACAAGCTCTGACGATTCCTGCTCTGTTCACCAGCTTGTCCTTTCTGCTGTAATTCTCTCTCTCTCTCTCTCTCTCTCTCTCTCTCTCTCTCTCTTTCTCTCTCTCTCTCTTTCTCTCTCTCCTCTTTCTCTTTCCATATATATATGTGTGTGTATGTATATATTATATTACATATTATATATTACATATTATATATATTACATATTACATATCATTATATATTATATGTTTTATATTTTATATATATTATATACATGTGTATGTAAATGTATAAATATATTTACTACCTGACCCTTCTTGGCCTGCCAAAATTCTCCTCCAAGATCTCTTCCCCTTTCATGGCTATGTGCATCCTCTGACAAGTGGGATACCTTCTCCCTTACTCTACCCCAGAGCTCTACAGAGGACAAGTGCCATAGTCCTACCACAGGCATCCAGCTTGTGGCCTTTGATAAGGGCACACCAAGTGACCTAAAACACATGATAGGTATTATAGCAGGAACAGTGCCTGCTGAAGACTACCACATTTGCATTTTATCCTGGGAGATTGGAGAAGCTGCTGTTAAATCATAAGAGGCAGACTCTAGGGCCAGTGAGATGGTTCAGCAGGTAAGATGCTTGCCGCCAAGCCTAGGAACCCGAATTTCATACCCTAGACCCACGTGGTAGAAGGAGAAAACCAACTCCCATAAATTGTCTTCTGATCTCCATGGGTGCACCATGTGTGTAAGGGAGGGAGGGAAGGAAGAAGGGGGAAGAGTGAGCAATAATAAAATAAATTTAAACACAAAAAAGCAGACTCCAACACAAATGAATCCCACATGTATACAGGGGATGTGTACATGTCAGGAGCCCACTGGTTCTTAGGCAGCTCAAGTGATAACAACATTTTTTTGCAGATGACAACCTGTCACACAAAATAGGCACAGCTAACATACAATCCTCAGGGCCTGTGCATGAAACATGCTTGACCACAAGGCACCAAGAAGAACCTCACATTCATCTGAACCACAAGTGCTCTTGCTCAAGGAGTTGCTTGTCCCCCACCCCCAGCAGTCACGTGACCTTCAAAACCCAGGCATCTGCTTACGTGCACAGCAACAATAACGATCATGATGGTGACTATGACGAGAAGCTATTATGCTCCTGCTGGGCCTTTGACTCCTTTTGTCACCATGGCCCCTACCCCTGGACAGCAGAGGGTCTAATGGGGTCAGGTTGCCTCTACACAAATCTCCCTCTCTGCTTAATATGTAGAACTGACCACTGTCCCTACCAGTTAGGTCACTGTTTCCCTCTTGCCATTCTCTGATATCCTCTGCTGCAGGCTCAGGGTATTGTCTATGAGAACATTTCCCCTTTCTAGTTCAGGGTTCATGGGTAAAAGCCAACGCCAGCTGAGCACTTGCATCCAGCTGTGGCCACACCTCTGGAGCTGCAGATGATGAAGCCCATTGCTGAAGATGATGGATTTGGATTCTGCCCCTGTGTATTCGAGACCTCTGATTTTTCTAGGCTGTGAGTGGCTGGAGGTCAGGGTAGGTCTTGCTCACCACTCACCATAACGATGCTGTGTCTTCCTACCTGGTCCCCGCCCCTCCCTTTCAGACAAGCCACAATGAATGAGACATAAGCAGGAAAACAAGGAGCTAGGTATCCTGTTTAGTTGGCAGAGTACATGCCTAGAATACACGATTTCCTGGGTTTAGCAGCCAGCAGAGAATAAGTCAGGCATGGTAATGCATATTTATCATCCTAGCACTTAGGAGGTAGAGTCAGGAGAACCCTGAACCTCCAAAACTGGGCTCCACATCCTGAGAGGAGACAGCACAGAGTCCACAGGTCCAGTAGCCCACTATCTGGGTGAAAAGCCCAGGGTCACCAGTCTGGCAGTCTTAGACTCTCAAGGTCCAGGTTCCACATTCCCAAAGTAGAACTGGCCCATCGGGAAGGTAACAGCAGTCCAAGCAGTTCATTGATGGAGCCTGGTATATACCATCCTGTGCTATCAGCAGGCAGCCACCTGGCCACCTGAGCCCACTGGACCTGCTGCAGGTCTTACTCATAGACACTTACCATCCCATCCGCCATTCAGCAGGCTTCTGTCACCACAGAGGGCCCTGAGGCCAATCTCATCTCCACCCTCCATGATTTCAAGTACCCAAGCACTGTAGACAGTCATCTGTGCTATGGTTGCTGACTAAAGTGTCCATCACATCTGAAAACACAGCATTACCAAGACCTGTGCTTGGCCGGTGGGGAAAACTAACACAGTCACACCGATACATACAACTGACTTTCATGGATAAGGAGGGACAAAAGGATTCAGCCAGATATCTGGGAACCCCAGCTAACTTAGTGGTCAAAGGGGAATGCCCTGATGATGCTCTAGGATCGCCATAGGTAGAGATTTAGGGCCAGGTGCTATCAGAAAATGTTTGCATCAGAAAACTGGAGTTTGGGGGTGGGGGAGCGCATCTCTGAGATGTACTATAAACTTTCCAGATTCTATGAGGTTGACCCTAGCTAAGACTCCTAGCAAAAGGGGATATGGAACCTGAAACAGCCACTCCTATCACCAGGAAAGACTTCCAATGGAGGGATTGGGACACCTCAGCCACAAAACCTTCAACCCACAATTTGTCCTGCCTACAGGATATGCTGGGGTAAAGAGGGAACAGAAATTGAGGGAATGGCAAACTGGTGACTGATCTAGCTTGAGACCCATGCCATGAGAGAGAGCCCACTATTAATGTGATTGTGCCATACTTGCAGACAGGAGCCTAGTGCAACCGTCAGCAGAGAGGCTTTATCCAGCAACTGATGGAAACAGATACAAAAACCCACAGACAAACATTAGGCAGAGCTTGGGGGAATCCTCTGGAAATGGGGGAGGAAGGATTGAAGAAGCCAGAAGGATCCAGGAAACCACAAGAAAACAACTAACAAGAGTCAACTGGGCCCATAGTGGTTCACAGAGACTGAACCACCAACCAGAGAGCATGCATGGGATGGACCTAGGTCCTCTGCATGTATGTAACTGTCGTGTAGCTTGGTCTTCATGTGAGACTCATAACAGTGGGAGCAGGGGCTGTCTCTGACTCTGTTGCCTGTCTTTGGATCTCTTTTCCCTAACTGGGCTGCCTTCTCTAGCCTCAATAGAAGATGTTCCTGGTCTTACTACAAATTAATATACCGAGGTGGGTTGATATCCATGGGAGACCTCTCTTTTCTGAGGAGAAAGGGAGGAGGAGTGGATGGGAGGATGGAGAAGTGATAGGAAAGGACTGGGAGGAGAGGAGGGAGGAGAAGCTACAATCAGGATGTGAAGTAAATAAGTAATTTTTAAAAAAGAAGAAAGAAAGAAAATGTCTCCATTACCTAACACTGACCTCACAAACACCCACCTAGGACCTAGTTGCCCTACTCTCAAAATATCAGGTACCAGGAAGGCCCATATAGGCCAATGAATACGCCATGCCAGGGTCTGTACAATATACCATCAGTATAATCAGCCCAGGTGTATGGTGAGGGCCTAATTCCCTGTGTCTTTCTGAGACTGGGTCAAGAGAGATACACAAAGTATGAAGTTCAAAGGTTGAAAGGGAATTCCAAGAGGCAAAGAGAGGACCAGCTTGTGTGAGAGACAGCATACCCTATCACTCAAATCACCAGTCAAAAGTCAAGACCATTTCTCCCTAACAAGAGTTAAGGATGCTCCAGGGTCCCTCATTGCATGTTTCAGCTTGAATCAGTCCACAGCAACAGACAGACAGCAGCATTCAGAAAGCGTCTGTCACCAGGATTCTCAGCCTCAGCCTCAGCCTCAGCCTCAGCCTCAGCCTCAGCCTCAGCCTCAGCTTCAGCTAAACCTCCAACAACACTGGCCCTAATAGTTACACCGACCCGACAATCTTCCTGGGCAGAGGTCCCAGGTCTGTGGCTCCAACACTGGAGTCTCAAGCTTCTGAGCTCCTGAACAGAGGCAGTGTCAGCAGTGACAGGCTGCTGGCACAATCAACAGCACAAAGCCATGGTCACATTTCAAAACTGCAATTAATTTCCTTTGCTCGTTAGTCAATTTATTCAATTAACTGAGCCCTGAAAAAAAAAAGCAAGAGAGAGAGGAAAGAAAGTACAGACATCTCGTTTGCCTTCTAGCACTGATTCTGACTGCCTGGGGTATCTTCTCCTAACTTTCTCAGTGAGGAAGGTATGGAAAGGAGAGTGGGGGATTCCCATGCTCTGATACTGACCCTGGACTAGTGATAAAGCCATGAGAAACATTAAAGGCTCCTGTAGCAGAAAAAATGCCAGAATCTGCTTAACCCACAAGGCAAGGTAGGAGCCCAGAGGAGGCATCCCCAAAAAGGGTTTCCAGGGGCCAGACCCTGCTGAATCAGGAGGAGCAGGCTCGGCTAAGAGAGAAGCAAGGAAGGTGGTTTTTGTTTTTGTTTGTTTTTGTTTTAACAGAGGAAAGGTTTGGTAAGGGTGATCACGTGCTGAGCCTGGGTAAAGTAGAATTTAGGGTCAGGGACAGAACTACAGGGATAGAACTCAAAAATAAA